AAAATTTTCCCCTTTTTTTTTTTTTTTTTTTTTTTTTGTATTGTTTGTTCTTGTCAGTTGTCAAGCCCGTCCCTAAATTAAAAAAAGAATGATGAGCCACCAAAACGTACTCGTCATAAATTAGAGAAACAAAATCTCACTCAAATCTCACTTTTTCCCCATCTAGTTGTTATACATAGCAATAAATAAACTTGGTTGTAATCAAGCGTGAAGTCTTTAACCTTTTTATCATTGCACTCTGAAATTTGGTGAAGCAAAAAATAATGCATGGTTGGATTTTAGTGATAGTGCAATGTAGGAAAAATGTTGAAAAATATGGCGTGCCGTCTGTTGCGGGGTGGTGCCAAGCATTTAGAAGCCGGCACCGACGAACAGTAAACGAAACAGGATGTGGGTAAACTCTTGGACAATTGCTTCAGATAAGATCTCAATTGTCTCTAATTGGATGGTCCCAAATACTTTCTAACTAATGAAATCAATCTTGCTCAAAACACAATACCGAAGAATCCTTACCAACCTCCAAAATGGTTTTGCATTTCAATATATATATTTGTGGATGCAACTTCACAGCCTCTTCCTATTTTGGTGGGGTCTCCAGGCCAAATTCAGTGGAAAGAAAGAAAAAAAAAAGTTTTATGCAATAGATTAAGCAAGTATGTAAAAGTTGAATTTGATAAAGGGCTATATGTATTGTGCCTTGGCAACAAATCAAAACAGCCATCATATTCAGTGATGCTACCAAACCTTGAGCTTTTTTTTGTTTTTTCAATAGAGGGAAGTTGTTACCAGCTATCATAACAAAGCTCGTCATCAATTCCTACCCTCCGGGGAAAGATACAAATATTCAATCATATCTCATTGTTTGGCCAACGTGTCTATTATATCAATTCAATATTCTTCCCGCAACTAACCCATCCTTGATTTTCAAATGGATGCGTCTGCTATTTTTTCACAACAAAATGAAAAGGGTCACTTTAGCATGCTAACAGATTAATTGTTTTCCGTGATTAGGAGAATCATATATTTGCTTTTCAATGCTTTATTTCTGGTCAAAAAGTGTTGTCTCCCAACTTACACGTAAACCCATTTTTTTTTTTAAAAAAAAATTCATGTGTTAATATATGTAATACACAATTACATATATGTGTATTAAGTAATAATAAGACTATACTAGAGAAAGAAACAATGTTGCCAAATGCACAGAATTATGTAATAGTTCACACCTAAGTTCCTTCATGCTTCAAATTTAAGCTTCATACCTATCTACTATATATGACTATTTGAAAGTCAGTGTATATGCATATTATACCTACCAAACGTACACCATACATAAGTTTTTCATTGGTTTAACTTATTTTAATCAATTTAACAAAAGACTTAAAAGAGAGACGATGGACTAAACACGAGACTTTCTGAATTAGAGTAACCAATGGAGGATTGGGTTAGTAAGTTTCTCACAAGGTAATGGACCCAAATTCAAATTCCCCGGAGAAGTATTTACATTTAAGATTGTCTCAGAAGATGTGAAAGGAAAACTGAAAATTAAACCGTCGTAGCTATAATTTATTTGTTTTTCTTAAGGGACCAATGTGTAATTTTCTTTTTCTTTTCTTGTCAATAAAAATTACGGTTATTCAAATAAGGTTCTTTCATATCAGCGTTAGGACAAATCATTAATCATTAACGGATGTTTTAAATAATCAACACGGTTTTAGCATAGCTAATAGGAAACCACACATGTAATGTATTTCTTAAAAATATTATTTTATAAAACATAATTAAAACAGTGGATGTTCTAAGATTGGAAACTTGTGAATCAGGTGGAAGAGATTAGCATTTCAATAAAGTAAATCTAATTTTTCAATTGTAGTGAGGCGCCTTAGTTATACATTCTTAATCACTAGAAATTTATGATTAAGTTAATTTCAACATACTTATCAATAGTATTTAATTATATAAAATTAGTTTTATTCAATTTTAAAACAAAAAAAAGTCCTATCTCCGGGATTTTGAATACGGGTTTTTTATCAATCAGAAAGGAACAAACAAACTATTTAAATTAAATCACAGCATTTTTAAGGAATATTCCTGCTTGTGGAGAGAGCATGCCAACAAATTAATTAAATACTTCTAAAAATGTTTATCAGCTCTAGCTATATTATAAATTTAAATATTTGTAATTAATAATTTTGGGATAAAAAATGATATCTTATTTAAAACTAAAAAATCTTCAACTTAAAACATTTATAAAAAAAATTATATTTAGCTCATCCAAAAAACAAAAAAACGAGTGGGTATTTAGATATGACCAAGGTTTATTATGAAAATTTATTTTTGTTTATGATATATATGTGGATTCACTATTATTTAATATTTATTTTTATATTTTAACATTTTTAATTCCCAAATTATTAAATTTTTAGCAAACTTTTCTTTTATAGATCCATATCAACATTTATTCCACCTCCTCACATATCAATTCTCATTTCATTTCAAATCAAGGTTATTTATACTTTTTAATCAAATTTTCCTTTTAATTTTCTCTTTTAAGTCTTTCGTACTAAATTTTAATTACTGATATTATTAATTTAACTAAATTGATCATATAAATTTGTCGCATAACTTTAAATACTCCTTTATCTATTTATTTTACATTTTATCCAAATTAATTACAAACACATGCGGGAAATACTTGCTATTTCTTTTATATAAAAGAAGGTCCCAAGAAAACTAGGTGCTACTGCTTCTTGATACGACGATTAATTATACTCTGTTCACATTTTTATGCAGCCTTATATTAAACGTCAAATTTGCTTCATTTGGTCCTAATGATAGCGGTATTAGACTCAATTATTATGATCCAATAAGACTTTCCTTTTAAAATTGAATTAAATTAATTTAGGCTGGGCCCTTGAGATGGATTGAGGGTACATTTTAACCAATTGATTCTAACAGATAATACAAAGTCCAAATTAAATTAACGCAACAAATAATTAATTATTGTTAAGTGACATCACAGACGCATACTTACGTGGTGATTAAAAGTTATCCGGTTTGAGTTAAAATTAAAATAGACAAGTAATTATGGATCGCCATGGACCAAACATAGCATTTAAATCCGGCGGATGCAATACCGTGAGCTGTAAATTTTTAAGTTCTGTCTTCCTTTCGGCATGTCTGATTGGACTTCAATTTTCTTTTTTAATTCTGTTTAAAACCATTCATTTAAAAAAAAGGGTGATCTTTTCTTACTACCAAATAAACCAAACATCTTATTAACACCCTTAAATTGTGTTTATTTCTTTTTTTATTATTACATATGTCATTAATCATTTATCTTAAGATGTAAACACCTCTTAAATGTTAAAAATCTTTTTTCTTAAAAGAAATGTGTCATAATTGAGTGCCTAAACTTGTTATTTTTTTTTAATAATAAGATTAATGAAAAAAACATATACATATATCTTCGATCTTTCACGACTTCATAAACTTGTTAAATAATCTTTAATGAACATTAATTTGATTCTTTAACTCCACAAAAATCTTGTTCGGTAGAAATTAAGATCCTTTAATAGTTAAGGAAGTAATTAAAAATAAGGAAAATTACTTGCTCTTTAAGTTTATGTAGTAATTTTTTCAACAAGTTTCAGCCGGCAGCATTAACATGTTATTTTGTGGTGTTTAATAATATTTTGAGTGTCTTCCCCTATACAAGAAAATTTTGGGAGAATTTTATGATATCTTATTTTTGAAGGTGATTGTTAACTAGTACCTCTCCTTAGTTGTTAAGAGTCTAAAAAACTATCAAACAAAAAAGTGATTTTTTAAAATTTTAAATATATTAAACATTGTTTTGAAAAAATATTTTTTAGTACCTTAACAAATCTGTTATCAATTTCGTCAAGGGAACACACTTTAACACACAATTTTAGTTTATTTTGTTTTTTATAAAAACTTTTTATGCAGAATTTAGCGACATTGGAATCACAATAAATAATCACGAAGAATACGAGATATACTTAAAAATTAAATTTCTCTTTTCCTAGCAGTACAGTAGCAGGATCATATCCGGTTAACAACAGGAGATCTAAGCACAAACACAAATTGGTGCCTTTATATTTTTTATAGCACATGAACAAAATTGTAATGATACAAACTCATGCGTGTGTTACTACTGTTTTGAATCCTCCACACTTGGCAGTGTCTCCAAGCCTCAAAAAGAGCTCAAGTAGGTTTCTTGGAAGCCACTCTTGAAGGCTACGACTTTATATATATCCCCCACAAACGACACGTCTTACATAAACTCCATCACATTCAAGCCACCACTTGACGATTTCACTTTCATAATTTCCCTCAGCTTCTTTTATTTTTCTTCGTGTCATAGTGACTTCAACAAACGAATACACACACACGCAGTTGTTTCTGTGATACCTCACCAATCTTGAAGGATGGCAGCGAAAGCCAAGAACAAGGTTCAGATTGAACTGGGATGCGGTTTGTTGGGGAGAATTTTCCATCTCAAAACCAATAACAGGCCTAGAAAATCCTCTGTCCATTCACTACCCGTGAAGGCTTGCAACACTGCACAACAGAGGGATCAGGCTAAAGCAGAATCCAAAACCCCCCCAAACCATGAATCAAAGGTTCCAAGAGATAGCACCACATCGAGAAAAACTACCTCTAGTAACCGTGCACCTTCTGCACACAGAAACACTCCAAATGGGAGACCCTCTGATGCTGCAAGAACCTCAATTCAACAAAGCCATGACTCAAATGATGAGAGTAAACAACAGAAAGAGCAGGCTCTGGAGCTTGCTAGGATAAATACAGGCACCAATCAGCAGCAGTACAACGAGACCAAATCCCCAGCCAAAGAATTTGTGTTGCCAATCACTGGGAATTTGCTTGTGAATAGCAGCCCAAGAACTAGTGTTACCAAGAGCAAAGAGTTGAACTTTATGTCCAGTTCCTGTTCTTACAACAACAAAGGCGTAATGGGGAATATCATGAGGAAGAACAGTGATGAGGTTACGCAGTTTCGGAGTCCAAGGAACAACAGAGTGGACCCTGAGGTGTTGAAGTCCATGGGGAATGAAGCCTACAAGCAGGGAAGATTCGAAGAGGCTTTGGCTTTGTATGATAGAGCCATTGCTCTTGACTCTAATAAGGCAACGTATCATTGCAACAAGAGTGCAGCTTTGATAGGCTTGGGAAGGTTTCTGCAGGCAATTGTAGAGTGTGAGGAAGCTATACGATTGGAGCCTTCCTATGAAAGAGCCCACACCCGTTTGGCAACAATTTATTTAAGGTACTCAACATTAATCATCATGGTATATTGATAGATATTCCACGTCGACTAATGATAAAATTAACAAAAAAATATATAAGAGACGACATTCATCTTATAAACCAATTTTGTAAAGTTGAATTAGATTTATAATCCACTTTCTAAGATATATGTATGTATATGTATGTGATATGTTGTATTTAATATGCCTTGTTGTGTTACTTTTCCTTAGAGAATTGCAAATTTGATTGCAGGTTGGGAGAAACAGAGAAGGCACTGAATTGCAATGAAACAACTCCATATGTTGATTCCGTACTCGCTTTCCAAACTCAGGCTCTTGGAAATCACCTTAGCAAATGCACTGAAGCTCGGAAAGTCAAAGACTGGAAAACTGTATTAAAGGAAACACAGGCTGCAATATCCTTAGGCGCTGATTCAGCTCCACTGGTTAGTTTCTTTGCTCTGGCGTTTTAATAACACTCACAAATGGGAACCCTTTTTTTCTGCTTTGATTTTATACAAGTTCCATTGTGATTGATCAATATATGGCTATGGTATGCCTTATGCTGATTAAAGAATGGTTATGTGTACCAGGTGTATTCTTTACAAACTGAAGCCTTGCTAAAGCTCCTAAGACATCAAGAGGCATATGCTACCTACGAGAAAATGCCAAAATTTGACCTTAATTGTTGTAACAAATTATTTGGCCCGGCTCGTAGCGCTTACCTATTGATGATAGGCGCACAAATTTACTTGGCAGCTGGCAGGTTGGTGAAAGTGCTTTATTTATTATGATGTTTAAAAAATTATTGATACATGATTTATGTATTTTGCAAGACATGTAAACGAAGTATACCAATTTAGAAAATATAGGGCCCATAGATATACTACCTGATTCAGGACTGACCCCTATTTGCGTTTCTGTGTCTAACAGGTTTGAGGAAGCTGTGACATCGTCTCAACAAGCAGCTAAACTTGATCCAAGCAACAGTGAGGTAAATGCAGTGGTGAGAAGGGCCAGAGCAGTTGCATCAGCCAGAATGAGTGGTAACTTACTCTTCAAGGCATCAAAATTCATGGAAGCGTGCGCTGTGTATAATGAAGGACTAGAGCATGATCCTTACAACTCAGTTCTGCTATGCAATAGGGCAGCGTGTCGTTCTAAGCTTGGTCAATTCGAGAAAGCAATCGAAGATTGTAATGTAGCACTTTTAGTTCAGCCTAGTTATAGCAAGGCAAGGCTGCGGAGGGCAGATTGCAATGCCAAGGTGCCTTAATTTCTACTTCAATAATAACTTTAGAATATACTTGTTTGCAATTAATAACCTCTGTATTTAATTTTTAACATATAATAGTTGGAACGATGGGAAGTTGCCATTCAAGACTATGAAATGTTATTAAGAGAAAAGCCAGGGGATGAGGAGGTGGCCAGGGCTCTGTTTGAGACCCAGCTCCAACTCAAGATGCTACGCGGTGAAGATATTAAGGACTTGAAATTTGGTTCAAATTTGGTTTTAATTTCGAGCAATGATCGGTTTAGGCATTATGTAACATCACCTGGTAAGTCACATTTGACAGAGGAGTGTGTTACTAGAAGAAAAAAGTGTTAATATTTCTCTTACAAGTAACAAACATTGACCAGTTGTGGGAAATTTGAACAGGGATGTCTGTGGTGCTCTTTTGCAACAAGGCAACACACAAGCAAGTGTTATTGGTGTTGGAGCAAACCTGCAAAAGATTTCCATCGGTTAATTTCCTTAAGGTTGGTAATTTTCATGTGAGAAAACAACATAGCATCTTTATGTAGAAATAAAAGAAAAAAACTTGTCTACCAAATGGCCCTGCATTGTGAATAAAAGAAAAGTTACATTATCTCTTACTTATAATTGATTTACATTTTTAGGTGGAGATTGAAGACCACCCCTACTTGGCGAAATCAGAAGGTGTGAACTCCATCCCAGCCTTCAAAATATACAAGAATGGATCAAGGGTTAAGGAAATTCCAGGCAACAACCACGACTTGTTAGAAAAATTAGTTAAATTATATATCAGATGAAGATAATCACACTTCTTCGAATGACAATATACACCGCAGGAAGTGAAGAAGTGTATCAGATTTTTCAGAATCGAAAGGAAGACACTGAAAATAAATCAAGCTGATTATATGTGCTTCATAAATTTGGTCTCCTTGCTTACAAGGCAGAGGAAGCATGGCCTTGTTGCAACCTGTAGAGAAGTTTATAGGAAAAGTAATTCTTTTGTGTTAGTAATTAATTCTTTAATACTTTCAACGTTTGAATAGTCTGCAATTCTTCATATTCAGTGCATATTGATTTGGGAAACCTAAACATTTTTTTTTCGTTGATAAGTTATATACACTTTACAAGAGTGGTTATTTTTGTGGTTATTTTTTATTGTCATTCTAAGTTATGAGGAATATAGTAGAAGGAACACAATTGTTGTACTTGTACATTACAAAAACTTTCTGGTATATGTGAACTTCTGTTTTCAATTGTTGTCAACTTTCAATAGCACAATAGGTTTAAACAAAGAGGTTGAAACATTCTTCAAGTGTTTTTGTGTTTTTCCGCTGAAACAGGGCCCCACACATAGCATGCTTGGGACTATGTTTCTTTTCTTCCATCTTATATGAACTCAGTATGTTAACAAGGGAACTGTAAGCCAAAATAGCCGAGCAGTGTAGTATATCAAAAAAACTTAGATTTAAATATATTTTTAATTTTTTAAATTTAAAGTAAATATTTTTTAATCAATCTTTTTAATGTTTATAAATTTTAAAAATTTTATTTTAATCCTTATATTTAAATTTTATTAGAAAATTTATTAAATAAAATGTATTTACTAATATTTCTTTAGTAAAAATATCACACTAAAATTAATTGATGTTACATAATTTTTTAATATGTCAATTTTAAATATTTTATTGATAATTTAGAGGATTAAAATAAAAATTTTAAAAATTATATAAACTAAAAAAAATACAATTTTAAATTTGACAGACTTGCAAAAATTTATTATTCAAGCTGTCAAAAGCTAGTTTTTATTATATTCTTCAATTTGATACACTGTTATGCATTCATGCATAGACAAATCTATCATGGACCACAAATGAAATCTATTTTAGAAGAAGGAAAAAGGAACATTTGTTTTACTGTTGAACCTACATTTTGAAAGGGTGGAAACTGGGAATTAACTTGGAAGAGGTTTGTTAAATTCGCGGACAACCTATTATTCTTTAGTGTCTGAGAACAAAATAGCATCTCTGGATTTTCGTTATCACGGCCAAATTTGCGATTAAATTCTATTACATGTTTAATTTTGAAATTAAATTTTTTAAATATAAATTCTATATACACTCAAAACAACCTATAAAAAGGAAATTCATGAGTGATAAAAGTGATCTATCTAGTGAGTGTTTACTAACCCTCAATTTAATAAATAAAATTGAGTCAAATAAAATATTATTGTGTTTAGTTTAGGAAATTTTAGCATGTCATTAACTTTATGTCGGACATTCATGTGGATGTCTTCTCTTCTTTACCATTTTTATTTTTATGTATAAAAAAAAAAAGCAAAATAATTTTCACGTAATTAATTTGGAAACTCGACCACAATGACCATTGATTTTAGTAAAATTATTCTATATTAGAAAACATAAATCCTAAATCCTAAAGCTGTCTAAATCAAAAGAAAATTTAAAGAAACTATAATTCAAATTCGGTTGTTTGTACCCTCATCCTTTCCCCTTAATCGGTAAGAAAGCTGAAACATAAATCTTGGGAAAAATGGATGAGAGTCAAAGTAAAATGATGAGGGTGGGTGGGGGACGCAAGAAAAAGAAGATTGATCACAAAGATTGTGTCGTGGATAGTAAAACACACTGTGATATAATATCATATCATGATTATTCTAATTAATACCTCGTGTGTCAGAGTTTGACCCTACTGTTGAAATATTTATATCTAAGCAGGTGATGTTAATACATCGTTTCTTTATATAAGAAATAAAAGACGAAAAAAGAAGAAGATAAAAATAGGCTTTAAGTGAAACATATTACATTTATGGAGGTAAAGAAATGATAAAAGTGAAAATGATATAAATATAATTTAAATAAAAAATAAAAGATATGAAGCATGCGTGTGAAAAAATTTATTTACTTTAAGAGTAGGTCTAATTAAACTTATTTCACTCAATAACTTATGTTTTATATTAAATTTTAATAATTCAATTATTGAATTAAAAATTCTTAATATATAGATAAAGTTTACAAATTTTTAAAAATTTTGAAAACTATTTAATATTTCATATCATTTAAATCAATGTATAAAATATTTTTATGATTATTCATAAATTTGAATTAATGAAATATAATATTAAAAAATTTAAATTTTTTAAAAATATTACAAACTTGATCTATACATTATAAAATTTTTAATTTAATAATTAAATTATTAATTTTTAATGTAGAATATGAGTTATTAATTGAAATAAGTCTAAGTAGAATTATTTTTTTGTCCTAGTTCTTTTTGGTTCGTCTCATAGGTACATCAAACTGGATACCAAGGAAATGCAACTCTTCTGCCTTTTGCCACCTTACAGTTTGCATCATGCATCGGTTCATAACCTCTACTAGGCTTGGTAAAGGTGATTCTGATCGAAAAGTACGACTAAGTATCTATTGTTACTTTGGGTAATGATAGAAAACAAAAGAAGAGAAGGTAAATACTAGAGGGCATCTTGCATGACAATTTCAAAGTATATCTAATACTAGCTCAGGGCACATAGTTAATAGAGGCTTGATCACAACAATTGTCAAGAGCCTGAGGTATGAGCCTCTTTTGATAAAGAAATCGTAAAACTTAATCAAAATATTTAATAATTGCAAGTCAGGAGATGTAGTCCCCGACACTGACATCGAAAACTTGATGTGAGAAAATGTAATAAATTATGAAATTCATAGGGACCACATGTTTAACCTAATAATTATTAATATTTAGCTAAATTAAAACAAACGAAATATAAAAATACTTAAAGGTTAAGTTGAGAGTAATTTTAACAATGATTATAAGTAAAATTTAGAAATAAAAAACAATAGTAATAAAAGATTTTGAGTAGTTTATTATAAAAGAAATTTTCAAGATTAAGGGTTTACTCAATGAGTTCATATATGTTCAAATGTTTTATCGAAATATTTATTTATTCTCCTTGATGGTAAATTAACCTAAGGCATCCTTCATCCCCTCTTAGGATACAAATGTGTATTTAATTGAATTGCTTCTTATTCTCGTAGTAGTTATGTTCAATTAAATCCTTTAAAATCTATGTTAATTTAGTTGACTCTTAAAGGATTAAACATATTCTCATGTTAAAGTCTGAGTCTATTTATTTAGGCTCTAATATTTAGGTTCACTTTTCAATACCTCCCTAAATATCTAAAATTGTGAAAAATAGTAATGAATCGCTTCACATATGTAATTTGTAAAGAAATAAGATCAAGAGATAACAAGAATAAACAACTGAATAATTCATAAAAACTTCAAGGTTCTTAGGGACTAAGTCCTAATCCTAGAAAAATGGAGACTACTCATACATGTTCATAGTAGTTCTTCAAGAAGAAAAGAAAGAAAACATGTAAGAAAACAGACTTAAGAATCGAAGAAATCCAAACGTGAAATCCCTATCTTCAATCTATCTGTAAAAGTGTAAAATTAAAGTGTTTTTATCATAACCTATATTGTTTAATTTATAATCTAGAAAACCTAAAAATTTGGCTCAAAAATAAAATCCTAATGATAAGATAAAACGATATGTTCAAATTTTGAAATCAGTAACAGTTAGATCGTATCATGGGCTTGACTAGAGTCAAGACTATGATACGTTTTGGTCTTGATGCTTCTCATAAGATTGTCTTGACTAGAGTCAAGACTATGATACGTTTTGGTCTTGATGCTTCTCATAAGATTGTTGAGATAGTCACAGGCATGACTAGTTAGTCACAATTGTGACACTTTTTAGTCTTGGCTCTTTTCACAAGTCTCGAGATTGTCACGAGCATGACTTATAAGTCACAACTATGATATTTTCTATTGGTCCTTTTCTCATTCTTTCTTATCTTTCTTTATTGATCTTTCTATGAGATCATATCTTTAACTAAAAATATATACTAATAATACAACAAAAAAGAAATGTAACAAGCTTAAAAAAAAACTAAATTTAAAGTAGTTTCTATGGTGAAACATTTTATATGGTACATAAAGTACCTCTAATTAGTTTAATGCTTAAAGATAAAAATATGATAAAATGTAAGACATCAATTAAGGAGCTCAGTAATTTCTTGAACCACTTATATATATAGAAAGAGGCAAATAATTCAAAATTGGTTTAGCATTTTAAAAATGTCTTTGACCTGCATATATATTTGTGTCATTTTCCTTGTTTAAAAGTTAAATTGTAATGACATTATCTTATATGTTACCGTAAAAATAATTTTTTTTATAGTTGTAAAAATATTAGAATAACGAAGTTAGCAATAGTGTGATCACGAAAGTCAAGGTATAATTCATTGATTTTTAACTGATGTATGATAATATGAATTAGGTAATTGTATCAAATAGATGATAAAGCTAGCTTGTTTGAAGCGAGTTATTAAAGTTAGAGAAAATAACAAGCAAACTATAATCAAAAATAGAAAGAAAAACAAAGTTTACCTCGTTTCCATTAATTGCTACCAAAGGCAATTTCTAGTGGCAACGATGCCTTTCCCCTCCCCACTTTGTCTTCCTTGTTCTTCTATCTTTTTTTTCTCATTTCGCTCTCTAGCCACGATGTCCACAATGGTGTTGTCACGTCACCATCGCTCACCCCTCCCTTTGATTGTTCTCCTCATTCGCTAACAAACTTAGACTACCTAAATCGCATACCCTATATGAAAGCTACCATGCTCCTTCGTTGCCACTGATCAAAGGAAGTGGCATGACCAACACTAGTCGCCATCCTTTTTTACCTCACAATTAGGGCTAGAAATGAGTCAAGTTGAATTGTGTTTGATTTAATTCAGTTCGACACAATAACATTTGGCTCAACTCACAACTTAACTCGAGTTTGATATAAATCTTTTTTCAGCTTAAATTCAATTTAGTTCAATCTCACTAGAAACTCAGTTTAACTCGTTAGCTCAAATCACATTTAACAAGACTCAATTTTTTTGAATTTTATACGTTTCAAATTTTTAATTTAATAATAAATTTTAGATAAAATGACTATTAAATTTTTTGCAAAAGACAACAACTTATTTTATTAATTTTGCAAGATTATAAGGTACCACTCTAAAAAGAATATAATTGTAATTAAAGTTTGTATAAATTAAAATTACTCCACCTTGCATAAAATAATAAAAAAAAATTGAATCTATAACCATAAAATTTTAAAGTGTTCACGTTTTTTATATTATTATTATTAACTTATAATTGAGTTTTGGAAGTTAATTTAAATTTTAATAA